GAGGTACGGCGTTCTTCATCTTGCAAACGACTAACCAAATGGACCAAATAATTGGCAGGGAATTCGGATTCGGCTAAAAAGCATGCAAGTAAATTAGCACGTACCTTTTTCCCTTTCTATTTTAAGGACAAACATAATAGAAATGTAGCCACTTTAGGATATCTCTCTTAAAATGATGAGATGAGCCTCGTTCAAAGAAAGATACACATTGCGGGGCCCTCAATAATTAATCATAGTAAACATTTAGAATGTGGAGTTGGGCGGCCTAGTGAATTTCCCTGCCTTCTCCAAAGACAATAACACGTTAGACTCTTTAGGCGCGACTTAATTAAATTACATTCTTAAATTCGGGTGCACATTGATGTGACCCAAATCCAAATCTCAACGGAGTCAAATGTATCGACAATCACGGGTGCATTGATTGTGACGTGGTTCGAGATGCATTTTCACAATGTTGCAATTCTATAATAATAAATGATAATAATAAAAGCGGTTTAAACTTAATAAAAGCACACAAGTTATAACATGTATTAAAATCAAATATTTAGCCATTATAACAATTTAAGCGACCGTGCTAGAACCACGGGATCCGTGGGTGCCTAACACCTTCCCTCGGGTCAACAGAATTCCTTACTTAGAATTTCTGGTTCGCAGACTTCATTTGGAAAGTCGAAAATTACCTCGATTTGAGATTCAAGATAAACCGGTGACTTGGGACACCAAAAGCCAAACCTTTCCCAAGTGGCGACTCTGAATTAAATAAATAATCCCATTTCGAATATTGTCACTTAAATTGGAAAAACTCTCTCGCGCATTTATACCCTTCGGGGCGGGGCGCGCAAAAAGGAGGTGTGACACTCCCGGATTATCGCCTCGTAGTCTCAAATCGTAAAATGTATCACAACGGCACGACGAAAACCTCATGTAACAATAACGAACGCACGACAGAAACGTCATGCCACAATAACATCCGCACGGCAGAAACCTGGTGCCACAATAACATCCGCACGGTAAAAACCTCGTGCCACAATAACATCCGCACGACAGAAACCTCATGCCAACACAATACTAAATACAACAACAACAATGACAATAACACAAGAATACGTCAAGTAAATCAACTCAGGAACTCCAGAACACAAAGAGATGGAAGAACGAGCTCCCAAGGAAAGACACAACGAGAAATAATGATACAACATATCAATAGCTCAACAAGGAAGAGATACTGCATAGTAATGATTCCATATAAGTACAATTAAACGATAAGAGGAATAGCGTGAATCAATGATTCCAATTAAGGTAAGTCAACAATGATATGGGATAACAAAACATCAATTAGGGTTGGGCAATTACGGAAGAGATGCAACAAACTCAATTAAGGATAAGCATATTATGGGAGAGACAATAATAACTTCAACTAATAATAGGCAATTACAGAAAAGATAGCATTGCAATAAAAGAAGCGATAACTTCAGTTAAGGCATCGACAATAAAGGTGGAACATGAAGCAATTAATTTCAATTAAAGGCACGTTGAGGTGAAACTAGTAAATGGGGGATTTATCAAAATAAAACAACTTCATATCTAATTAACATAAGAACCTAAGAGTCCTAGACGGTCAAATTTTCACAAATAAGCTCGAGCACGTACTCGTCACCTCGCGTACACGGACTTCACATGACACAATTAGCACCAAAGACTCACATCCTAAGGGGTAGTTTGCCTCATACAAAGTTAGGCAAGATACTTACCTAGAAGAAGATAGAGCGTTACTCTAAAATGAACTTCTCGAGTGAAATAACCTCCGGACGGCTCAAATCTAGCCAAAATAACTCCAAATCATAAATAAAACTCAGAAGAAAACAATTCCGGATAATAAATCTTCAATCTTAAATAAAAACTAAAAATTCAACCCCTAGGCCCGTACCCCGGAACCCGATAAAATTGATAAAACCCGAACACCCATCCGATACGAGTTCAATCATACCAAAATTATCAAATTCCGATACCAATTCATCCCTCAAATCATCATTTTACATTTTGAAAGATTTCTTCAAAAATTTCCACTTTTTCTCAACTCAAAACACTAATTTAATGATAAAAATAAAGATAGAATCATGAAATGTAATGAATTACGGGTGAAGAATGCTTACTCCATTGATTTGTTTGAAAACACCGTGAAGAATTGCTCAAAACCGAGTTCTACAAGTCAAGATATGATAAATATGGCCAGACCCTCGATTTTGAAAAATATATTCTGCTGCCGAGGTGTGACACATCGCGATTGCGGAACAAGTAATGCGATCGCATACAAGAAATTACACTGCCTAGAAAAAGCACTACGCGATCGCATGAGCAGGAATGAGATCCCGTAGAAGAGCACACTGCCCCACAAGAAGACCCTACGCAAACCCGGACAGAGTGATGCGAAGGAGAAGGGTGACGCACACGTACGCAATCGCGGGAAGTAGCATGCAAACGCGAAGAACAAATATTTCCTGCCTCCAAATTACACTATGCGAACGCGAAGGAGTTGGCACGAACGCACTGAAGAAAATTAGATACCAGCAAAATAACAGTCCAACAACATGGAGAAATAGCCCGTAGCCCATCCGAAACACCCGAGGCTCCCGGGATCTCACCCAAATATACCAACACATCCTAAAACACGATACGAACTTAGTCGAGGCCTCAAATCACATCAAAAAGATAGAAACTAAGAGTCACATCTCGAATCAAATTTATGAAATTCCAAATCTTCTAACTTCTAAAACTCGCGCCGAAACATATCAAATCAACCCGGAATGACGTCAAATAATGCATGCAAATCCCAAATGATATAACGGAGCTAATTCAACTCTCAGAATCGCATTCCGACCCTGATATCACCTAAGTCAACTCTCCATGAACCATCTCAACCTTCTGAAACTTCAACTTTCCAATTTTCGGCGAAATACTTTAAATTACCCTACGGACCGCCAAATCAAAATTTGGACGCACATCTAAGCCTAAGATTACCATACGAAACTATTGGAATTGTCAAATCTCATTTTGGAGTCGTTTGCGCAAAAGCCAAATTCCGGTCAGCTCTTACCGCTTAAGATTCTAAAACACGAATCCTTCTTCCAAGTCAATCTTGAATAATCCGAAATTCGAAGTCCGAACTCGACTACACACGCACGTTATAATACACAATACAGAGTTGTTTGAGACCTTATGACGCTGAACATGATATTAATTCTCAATACGACAGGTCGAGTCGTTACAAAGGGTGAAATGCACAAAATCTTTCACTTCCCGATCACATCACAACGAGTAACTGAAAAGTCAGTCTCAAGAGTTGGGAGAATTAGGATTTGAAACATGTCAAGAATGATCAGTCAGTGGTGGCTCAACCATGGTAAAGCCAGATACAAACCTCAACCATAGTAAAACTAGATATAAGCCTACGGCCAGATAAGAAACAATTCAGGATATGATTGTTACGGGAACATTATAGAAGATCCCAAGATTTCTCCGGCCATTATTAGGGGTTTTTTACCTTTTATTATTCTTTACCACCTTTTAATTATCTTTTATTTTAACATTAATATTGGTAGTTAAAGGGACATGATTTGTAATCATAGCTCTAGTATAAATAGAGATTTTCATTCTATTGTAAGACATCAAGAAATAACGATAGCAAAAGACGAATATTCTTTCTCTTATTCTCTTAAGCTTTATACAAGTATTGTCAAGATTTTCCATTTATTCTTGATCCCGATAGGAATATTCTGAAAGCCCAGGTTTGTCTTTTCTTCAATTATTATTGTTTTACTCGCTTTCTTCTTTGTTATTTTATTTTATCGGATCAATTTAATTTACGCGTCTATGAACCGTGTTACAAATTCAACTGTATCATTTCTTTCGGGTAAACACAACCGAAATTATTTACATCCGATGGCCACAAAAGTGTATAAAATTTATATAATTTTAATATATAACCTACAGAAATATATATATATATATATATACTAGAATTATAAAAAAATTCGATTATTTCTTTTTAGAGCGACTATACCATTTCATTTTCCCTTATTGCAAGGTTGCTTCGAGTTTAGTCTCTTGGACGGTTGATAATGGACTACATGACCAAATCTTCTGTACGATTTACTAATTGACGTTAAAAAATTTAAAATAAATTTATAACTACAAACTTGATATGGAAGGAAAATTGTAGGGCATGTTGTCAACTTCAAATAAAACTACTTTCTTTGTTATTTTTACTTGTTTACTATACTAAAATATATTTTAATTTTTATTTGTTAATTTTAACAAATCAAAAAAATACTTATTTTGTTTTCAGTTTCATCTGTATCATTAATTACTTATTTCACAAATTATTTTATAGGACTTCTCAAAATACTATCATTATTATCATGAATATTAAGGTAAAATATACACTTTATCTATTACGTATTTCTCAAGGGATATAATTGTAAACAAAGTATTGTGTAAAACAACCAAAGCTTTCATATGTACTGTCTATCGATTTTGTGCATTACTTTCTTATTTTAATAATGTTATTTTTTCTATACTTTTTATTGATAATATTATATTATCTTCTTTCGTCTTCTTAAGATGAAGACTTTTTCAAAATAACCTCTTTATCCTCTCGGGTCAAGGTCTACCTTCACTATAGCATTCTCAAATCTCACTAGTAAGATTTTATCGTTTAACCAAAACTCTCGTATCCAAATTGTCTGTGTTCCAGTAGAACGAAAAGCAACCGACAGAAAAACTTATAATTACAGAAAAGAAACCAATTCATTGATTATGACGCCTCCACTATCCAATAACTATATACAACATAATTAATTGTGTGAAAAGAAAAAAAGAAAAAGAGGAAAAAGTAAACGGATTCATGATGAGGCCTTGCCTTGTTGCACCGCGGCCAAGCTCGTCCACGTGAGATCCAAATAAAAAGAAATGAAAAATTATCTAACTTGAAGTACTACTTGATCTTAAATAAGTAAAAGATCTTTCTCCTGTATCGTCCTTTTCCGTCACGCAAAACAAATTTAACGGCGACTTAACTGACTTAACGGACTTCAGCAGACTCTTCGGCTGTTTCTCACCCTTTGACGAACCGGATCTAGAGAACATAGGCGGAGTCGGTAGAAACCGGAGCTTGCTTAACCGACCATCCGCCGGTTCACACCGGTACCCCTTAGTTGAACTTCTCGCTGGAGAAAAGGCTACGGTGCCATTGTAGGCCCTACTCAAGCTTAACCGGCCCTCCTCCGGTTCGAACCGGTACCCCTTAGTTGAATTTCTCGCTGGAGAAAAGGCTACGGCGCCATTGTAGGCCCTACTCAAGCTTAAGTCTACCAATCTTTTACGTACATCATCAGGTAACCTTAGAGTAAACCTCTCGCAATTTTCACCAGGTTGAATCAACGAGTGACCCGTCGAGTGAGAACGACTGAACATCCCAAAAATCTTTGGCCTTCTCGGAGTTGATTTTGGTGCAAGGTGCCGAAAATCAGGTGTCTTACTTCTCGCCTTATCTGGCGTATGACTATGAACGGGCGGCGTTTGAGAAGACTGGTTTATTACTTCTTCTGGTGCTGGATGTGATACAACTGAGCTGACATTCTGAGACTCAACGTCATCTGTTTCTTGAATTGATTCTTGAAGTTTACCCGCAGGTTTTGTTTTGAGATTTGCACGGCAAACTGGGCAAGTGGTACGAAAGGCAAGCCAAGCATCAATACATTCAGGATGGAACACGTGGCAACAATTAGGAAGAAGGCGGAGAGTATCTTCATCTTCGAACTCGTTTAGGCAAACAGCACATTCTAGGATAGATTTGCCTATCTTTAGGGCTTTGACATCGGAGTATACAAATACCGGCAAAGTTTCGATGATATTAGGCTCAAGCCCACGGGAGACTGGTCGGTGCCGAAAGAAGTAAAAACCCATTGATTCGTCAAAGGAATCAGGGCTCATGCGACGTATATATATGAAGATAACTGCCATCAACAATAAAACAAGACAAGCGAGTAATATCGCTAACGTTGGGCTGATTCCAACATTTGAGTTCAACGGGCGTGTGGCTGAGACTGTGCCAGTTTTTGACATGACACAAAATAAGCACAAGAGAAAACAGAATAGATTTCTGCTATGCTTCATTTTCGTCAAGAATTTGGGTTAAGATTCCGGCGTATTTGTGTGAAAGAAAGAGGAGATGGATAGTTGTAAAGGCAAAAGATGGTTGCTTGAGTGAGAGGAAAAGCGAGGGACAAATGAATATAAAGGGAAAATGTCTCAGGCGGTTGGAAGTCACACTTCACAGGTTGGCTTTTTAAAGAAAATGCTGAAATGATATATATATATACTCCGTCCGTTTCAATTTATGTGAACCTATTTCCTTTTTAGTCCGTGCCAAAAAGAATGACCTCTTTCCCTATTTGGAAAAAATTTAGCTTTATGCAATAATTTATAGCCACACAAAATATATGTTCTTTATTTTACACCACAAATTCAAAAGTCTTCTCTCTTTTCTTAAACTTCGTGTCCAGTCAAATGGGTTCACATAAGAAGGAGGGAGTATAAGAAAAGCCGAAGGGATAACTGATGCGGTAGAGAGAATAATAATAATGTTAACCTGAGTTAAGGTTGTAGTAGTTGTTAATCAAATAAATCTTGTCCCTTAAATTGTGAAGGAGGAACGTGCAAGCTATTCATGGGCCAACTGGGAAATAGAGTGATGGCTCGCTGCAGGGGAGCCAGATCCGTTTCTTTTGGATATTTTTATAGCGTTGGAATGGCTTGCGATAAGGAGTAAGTATACATATCTTATAATTAATCTTATTACGCATATGTTTCTCGTAAGGTTATTAATTTTTTTGCTAATAAAAGAATATTACTTTATTACTAATACTTATCCAGGATCACCAGAGAGAGGCCGAGAGGGACTTAACGTGCAGTTTCAGTTCCCTAGGAGTACGGCAGGAAATGTTTATACACGTGGTAAATCAAAATAACAAGATATCTTACTAGTTGTCAAAAGTCATGTTTTTTTCCAAAAACCGCCAAGTGGAAAATAAAATGACTTGGACTCACTCTAGCATCAAAAAATCTGATAAGTACAATATGCTCCTTTTGTCCTAATTGATGTGTCGCATTTTTTTAATTTGTCATAAAAAATTATATATGTATTTTAAAATAAATTTAACTTTAAGTTTTTTATGTTATTCTTAATGAGATAATTTATAACAACACGAATATTTATGCCTCATTTTATATCCCAAGTTCCAAATTTGTTTTCTTTCTAAATACCTGTCTAAAATGCATTACATAAATTGAAATATATAGAATAACAAATGGATTTGTCCTTTCTTGGTTCCTTTTAGTTTAGTACCTTTTCATCCCCCTTCCCCTTTCCCTTCTCCATGAAGAGAAAAAAATATTAAGAGTGTGAGCATGTGATTTTTGTTTCGCACGACAATCGCTTCAAAAAGAAATAAAAAATAATAATA